GGGAGTCACAGCAGGGCTGGGGAATGTCCTTTTTGTGACCATTTTCTGGTATGGAGGCAGCCAGCCAAGGGGAGGTACAGAGAATCCAGAGAAGGTTCCTGGGCCAGACTCCCGGCTCTGCCTCAACCTGCTGCTGGCTCCCGCAGGCAGGGAGAAGGGCCACAGACCACAGACCCAAGTGGCCACTGCAGAGCAGACACCTTCTGGGTACGTCTCTGCTGCACACCAAGCATCTCGCTGGGAGCATCTCCTCAGCTGTGCTGATGGGATACCGGGAACAATCTCTCATCCTCCCTAGCCTGGGCTCATCCCAGCATCAGCGTGGGCACGTCCTTCTCAGCCATCTCCTTGCAACTGGAAAGCATTTCTCCTTGCCAGGGCTGAGTGATGGCCAGTCCCAGATGACACCCCAGCAAGTCCCACTCTTGGGCCCAAGAGGGAGAGAGGTTCGTGGGGCCGAGCCAAAGGCTTTCTGCATGGGCAAGAGCCTGTACCCACAGAGCAGTTGGCTGCTGGCACCTGCTAGTGGTGTAAAAATAGTCCTTCCCGTGTTTCCTGGGAAGCTGCTGCCAAGTGCAGGTGAAGCAGCACACAGCTGTGTCAGGGATGGCTGGAAGAGGTTTGGGGTGCAGGTCTGTATCCATACAACCAGGAGGGACACAACGTGGATGTGTACAACCAGCAGAGAATAAGGACTCCCAGTGGGCCACGCTCCACACCAAGGAGTCAGAACAGGTCATACCTGTTCCTCAGGCATTGCAAGTCACCATCGTGAGCCCTTCTTCCTCCAGGAGAAGAAAAAACAGCCCATAGACAGAGGTGGATTCAGCTGGAGCAGAGCAGAATTGGGAGCAGAGGGCAGCAATAAGGAGAGCAACAAGGTTCAACCAGAGAGACCTTCATGTTCCCATCTGGAGCTAACCAGACATACTGACCACTCTTGTGCTTAGCACTAATCCACCCCGTTGCCACCTTCCACAGGGGAGCAGCAGTGATGGCATGTATAAATGAGTGGGTTTAGGAGAAAGGCTTCTTGAGTGATGTGGCCAGTGTAGGTTAGAAAGACAGAAGTGAAAAAGGCTGAGCTGTGAGGCCAAGTTCAAACCATCAGCTATCAAAGAGTGGCAGGGAGAGGCCATGACAGGATGTACATCCCTTAATAGAGCAGACGCTTTGGCAACGTTGGCTAGAGATAACCACAACTGCACTCCTCATGTTGAGAAGAACGGCCGAGAGCAAGAGGAGGTGAGCACAGCCCCGCAGGGGCCGACGGAGGATGCAGCTACAGGATCAGGCTAGGAGCTGGGTCCAGCAAGGAGACAACGCAGCCATTGGGTCTGAAGGTCTGCAGGGCTCACCTCCCTTCCCAGGGGACAGCCATGGGTTTCATGGTCTCAGAAAAACCAGAGGGAACCAAGCTACCAGCTGCTTTGCCCATGGCACTATGAGGATCTTCTGACCTTCTGGGTGCCTTCTGCTGCAGCAGGCAGCGAAGGAAAAGTCTGTGGTTCATCGGGTCCAGAAGAATCAACCTGCCAGGCCCCACGGGAGCAGCTGGCCCTGGCTTTTGTCAACCTCTGTAAGCAGACGAGAAGCCTGATGGCTGAGCGATGGCCACCTTCCAGCAGGCAGCTGGGGAGCTGAACTCTTCCCTTGCTTCTCCACTGGCCTGTCATTCCCTCGGCTCAGATCTGGCTGATGAACCACTTGGCCTTGATGAGTCCTGACTTGCATCTTGAGACTCGATACCCGGCTCCACGCTTGTTTGTGCACCGTGTCCCACGTGGAGTCTCATGGTGGAGACCATTCCTGACTTTTGCAACACAGACGTCCCTGAACTGCTTGCAGAGCAAAGAAACCTGAAGGAAAGGCAGCTCTGGGCTGTCAGAGTTGACGTGGAGAAGGTGTCGGGGCCAAGGACTGACCTACAGCCAAGCCGCCTCTTGCAGATCATAGAATCAGGGAATGATCACAGAATGCTCTGTGTTGGAAGGGACCTTTAGAGGTCATCTAGCTCAACAATCCAGATCCTGTGGGGAATGGTGCTGAATCATTCAGATCCCAGCGTTCATATCCCTGGATTCAGCACTGTCTCTCCTCGCAGCAGCTCTCCTGTCTTGTCCAAGTGTCCCCTCCCAGCTGCCAGCTCTGAGAGGCTGCGGGCGGGCAGCTCCCTGCACGCTTGACCCCTGGGGCTACCATTTCTCCTCTGCTCTTGGAGACCCCCGCCGTGATGCCCCCCACCCGCCCCAGCCCCACAGGCCAGCGTGGGCATCCGAAAGTCATCCCCAGGCAGAGGGACCTGCCCTGGCCATGCCTGGCTCGTGCCAGGGGAGATGGACCTGGGGCAGTGGGGAGCAGGGCTGGCCTGGGCTCCTGCTCCTGGAGCTTCAGGAAGCAAACCGAAACCAGAAAGGCTGAGAGGGAAATTCCGACATGTGCCTGGGCTCCCGGCCAGGGACTGTCCGGAGAAGAGCCGGCTGCGGCTTCGAGCC